CCCTCCCCAGTGCCACATCCCCATCCCCAGGGCCATGTTTCTATCCTCAATGCCACTTTCCTGTCTCCAGTGCCATCTTCCTGTCCCCAGTGCCACTCTCCCATCCCAATGCCACGTTCCTGTCCCCCTGTTGCTGTCGCTGTCCCAGCCCCTCCCTGCCCCCGGGCAGTGCTGATAAGGGCAGGGTGTGTGTCGGGCTCTGGCTGCAGGAAGGACGAGATAACAGCCGGACCTCCCTCCCTGTTTGTCCCTTCCCTGGTGTGACAGGGCCACACAGAGCCCAGCTGGCCCTCCTGGAACTCTGCTGGCCTCACAGGGACACAGGGACAGCAGGGCTGTCACTGCCATGGCCCAGGAGGTGACCTCGGGCCCTGCTGTCCCTCCAGGAGGTGACAGAGCTGATGGGACCCCCCTGCAGGGCTAGGGAAGGTGACACAGAGCCACCAATGCCAGGAACCCCACATTCCTGCAGGATTTGGGCACTGCACCCCAAATCCCTGAAAAAGGAGTCAGGGAATTCTCTCTGATCCATGAGCAAGGCTCCAAGTGTAAACAGGAACACGAGGGCTCCCAGGCCAGGCCCCACCGTCCCTCATTGTCCCCTCTGGCACAGGGCCACCAGGCTGCCTTGCATGGCAGGAAATGGCTTTGTGGGCCACCAGCCTGCTGTCACTGGGAGGAGCAGAACGTTCAGCTCAGCTCCAAAGGGACCAAACCCAGGCTTTGTCAGAGCTGATAAGGGCTATCTGCTCTGAAAGGGGAGAAAAATCGCCTTTAACGCGTTTTTGGCACCTCTGGGGCTGCTCTGGCTGAGCACAGCTCGAATTCTTCAGCCAGAAAGAGGCACCACAGCAGCTCCCCATCCTTGGGGGGCCCTAAAGAGACCCCAAACCCACCCAGATCTGGGGCTGTGGGGAGCTGGGCAGAGGGGATGGATGGATGGATGGATGGATGGATGGATGGATGGATGGATGGATGGANCCTCAAGCACAGTGTTCCTATCCCCAGGCATTGTGTTCCAGTCTCCACACCAACATTCCCATTCCCAGATACCATGGTTCCACCTCCAGAGCCACATTCCCATCTTCAAGAACCAGGATTCCTTCTGCAGAGCCATGTTCCCATTCCCAGATTCCATGTTCCCATCTCAAGATACCATGGTTCCATTTCCAGAGCCATGGTTCCATCTCCAGAGCCATGCTCCCATCCTCAGGAACCAGGATTGCTTCTCCAGAGTCACATTCCCATCTTCAAGGACCAGGATTCCTCCTCCAGAGCCACATTCCCATTCCAAGATACCATGGTTCCATCCCCAGGCATTGTGTTTCAGTCTCCAGAGCCACATTCCCATTCCCAAATACCATGGTTCCATCTCCAGATACTATTATCTCATCTCCAGAGCCATGGTTCCTTCTCCAGAGCCACGGTTCCTTCTCCAGAGCCACATTCCCATTCCCAGAAACCACAGTTCCATCTCCAGAGCCATGGTTCCACCTCCAGAGCCACATTCCCATTCCCAGAAACCACAGTTACATCTCCAGAGCCATGGTTCCATCTCTAGAGCCATGTTTCCATCCTCAAGAACCAGGGTTCCTTCTGCAGAGCCATGTTCCCATTCCCATATACCATGGTCCCATCTCCAGAGCCATGTTCCCATCTCCAGATACCATGGTCTCATCTCTAGAGCCATGGTCTCATCTCCAGAGCCATGATTCCATCTCCAGATACCATGGTCTCATCTCCAGAGCCATGATTCCATCTCCAGAGCCATGGTTCCATCTCCAGAGACACTTTCCCATTCCCAGATACCATGGTTCCATCTCCAGAGCCATGTTCCCCTCCTCAAGAAGCAGGATTCCTTCTCCAGAGTCCTGTTCCCATTCCCAGATACCATGGTCCCATCTCCAGACACC